GGATTTCTTATATTTTTCCTTCTACCCTGAAGATAGAGGCGATACGTTCCTCCGAAACGTCGGTTAACACCACATATACACGGTGCCAAATCCCAGAAGACTGCTTTCTTCATAGTCACCGCCGTGAAAGCCTCAAATCTTATGTTTTAAAAATAGTTCAGTAATAGCGGTTGAATAAAATGTGAGAAGTTACAATATGAGCTTCTAGTACCAAATTCTTTCGGAACATGTGACTTTTGTCATACTATCGAAATAATGCTTCACTGCATCTTGCTTCATTTTTAGGGATAAAAATTTCAATGCTGTTGGTCCAGCACTGAGCCGTAAAGCAAAGTTGATCTCATCACAGTTTGAAGAACGTCATGGAGAAAAAACGGTGCAAGAAATTAAACAGTTTGTTGCTCGACTACCGCATATGATGGCTACCAAAGCATCACTAGCAACTCGTATGTTCATGAAACCCAGCTTTCCACAGATCTAAATGTAGCAAGTGTTTGTGCTGACTTGTGATGTAGAAGTATATTCATTATGAGAGAGGATTTGTTTATCCATACTACAGTCAGTCAGATACATGTGAATTCTCCATGTTATAGTGGGATGTGATTCTTTTATGGAAAAAAAAAGTTATTATTTTAGCCTAAGTTGTATTTGTTTAGTACATGCCATCCATTTTCAACTTGGGAATAAGGAGCATGTTACGTACAGAACAGGCATTGATTCATGGGAGGAACTGAACATAAAATTGACTTTGTATGTAGGCTCTGTGGAACACCTCTGTTACATTCAGCACATTATAATCATAGGTGACTTACAGTTTATGTATAGGAGCGTACGTATTGGCTGCCTATATTCAATTCATGTTATTGAGAAACAATTTTAAATGTACTGCTTCTGATCCATGATATGTATACAGTTGCCGTCTTGTAGTGCACTCAATTTCACCTGTTACTTCACGACATGTTTCGGCAACATAGTGCCATCATCAGGTGCCCTAATTACGCTAATCTATTTCATTGCTTGCCTTTATAAAATTATTTAAAAAGTATTTAAAAAGTGCGTATTTGTCAACTATAATAAATTTACACACACTAAAACTTGTTAAGATTATTCATCTTATGTGTCATAATTAAAACTTGCGTGTGGTTCTTCCAATATGGGGGTCGTTTTTCTTATATTCTGTGTAGACCGTGTCTTGTGATATGTGTTCCCTTCTTAGCTATAATTTTATAAAGGCAAGCAATGAAATAGATTAGCGTAATTAGGGCACCTGAAGATGGCACTATGTTGCCGAAACATGTCGTGAAGTAACAGGTGAAATTGAGTGCACTACAAGACGGCAACTGTATACATATCATGGATGAAAATCAGTGCAACAGGACACTAAAATACAACAGTACTGCTTCTGGCTTGAAATGGTTACTGTCATACCTTTTTCTTTTTTGTTCGTCCCTGCATGTCAACCTGGAGAATAGCTCATTTTGTATTCTGTGTGTTTCTCAATAATATGAGCAGTGTCCAAGTTCACAGCAGTGCCAATTTCTTTGTTGCTGTTGTTTGCCTCTGTCCAAACTCTATGGTTTACAAATTTATAATAAAGTTCAATGTTGCATTTTTGTAAATGCTAACATATCTTCTTAAAAGACCATCACTCACAAGTAGGCCATACACACAAGAGGATGGATGCTGCTCTGTTTTGATTTTCTGAATTTGTTGCATTTCCCAGTCTGAGACTTATGTACAGAACAATGCTACATCGACAAAACAAAAAATATTTGCTATTCATGTTGTAGTGAAATATTTGTAATGCATCCATTATTTTAAGACAGTTTTTCCATATTTAACATTATTCATTTGTTGAAAAACAATGGACTTAGTAATGACCCATCTTTATTTTATTAAACTTTTACCAAATATTTGTAAGGTCATCTTAGAGGATTCTTTCAAGCATTCGGTTATTGATTTTTATAATTTCAGATACAACAATTGCTGAGCTAATTAAGGAAGTGACTGATTCTAACAGTTTTTTGGAATCGTTGCAAACAGAACAGGAGTTTATGAATGGTATTGACACAGATAAAGTGCATCCATATATTGAAGATTGTATTGCACAGAAGGAACCTCTGATCAAAGTAAGTCCAACATTTCTGCATGTTTGAATAAAAATTAACATTGTGTGAAACCTTGGTTTTTTAACTCCATCTCAGATATTGCACTATATGTGTATGCAGGTCTTTAAACTATGAAGTTAGGTTAGGTGTACTCATGCAGTTATCCATAATCAGCCGTGTATTACGCTATTGTGACAGAATACTTGCCATCCAGCTTACTATGCATGTTAATAAAGTAAGTGTAAGTAAAGCCGTCTCTGTACCAGGCCGTGAAGGACCATAGGGTTGTGAGCTGTTGAGGGTCCCACATTATCTAGACAGTCGGCTCAAAGATGGTGGTAATGTTGTCAGCCTTACGCGCCAGCTGCTCTTTACTCCCCAGGAAAATTATTTAATTAATTCCTGGTACTCATTTCTGATAGAGGCTGAAAGAGTCCCAGGGCCATAGTGTGGCTGGAAGGATTAGGTCAATTGAAAAAATCCAATGACCTCGTTGGGATTTGAACCCGTGACCTTCCGGCCTGTAGCATAGCCCCACAATCAACTATACTACCGTGTGCCCTCAACACAAAAATGCATCTTTATTTAATGCCGCACTGTAGCAGCTGTGATGCTGTAACTTTTTCCACTGTTCTATACAGACTTCTGTGATGCAAATATCATTGCTGGTAGAGTCATTCTTGGCTTGAAAGGATCATGTTCTGATCATATCTTTTCCATGTTATTCACACTCGTTTAAGGTCATGTCATCTCTGAGGTATCAGCATTTCAATGAATCAAAAGGCAGATAAAAGTAAATAACAAGTTTTCTCATATGTTTCTAATTTGTGGGGGAAGTGGGATAGTTAAGGTTTGGGGGAGGGGGTTGACCTCTGTCAGAAGTTTCGAGTACAGACACTGACCTGCAGGTCTTACCACACTAGTGCAAAAGTGATTGAAATACAAAAAGTTGTCTCACATGTTTGTAATCTGGGGAAGTGAAATTGGGAGGGTTAGACATGTGACATGACTTTTAATGTTAGTGTATACTAGAGAAAGGAACTAAATAGCTATATCACTAAACATGTTGGTTGAGTGGGTATCCCGCCTGTTTTTATTTCATTAGGTCCCAAATTCAAATCTTGGACCAGATACTGATTACCTTGGCTAAAGTTTTTATGGTTTTCCTTATTCCCACCAGGTAATTTAAGTCATGGCTCTTCCATCCATGTTCTTTGCAGTCCATTATTCACTAATTGTCATACCATTCAGTGTAACATATCCTGAGCTTCTGATAGCATTGCTAAATAAAGCATAAATAAAAAGTTACCTCATTCTATTATCCTGTGGGAACAGACTGGATCATTGAAAATTTTATCTGAATATGGTTCAAAACTTTTTGGAAGTGAGTGCAAGAAAAGTTCATTCTCATCCACCCTAAAGTCCTGGCCAGCTGCAGAATTTAGCTTATTGTACCTAATCCAGGAAGAAATTAACACCTGCTCAATGTATGTGCTCAAAGTGCAATGCTGGCTTGTATGTAGATCCATGTATTTGTATTGTAGCATATAGACAGTTGCTAGGCCACGACCACAAAACAAATGAGAACGACCATTACTATGCAGTGGACCAGGCTCAGTGAAGGGAGTACTGTTGGAGGTGGTGTTTTCTGTGGTGTGGTCTGATATGAGTCTATATCACGTGACCAACAGAGTTCAATTCAGTTCAGTTAGTGCAGTGCAGTGGATTGGAATTAGTTGGTTGGTGAGTGAGTGAGTGAGTGAGTGAGGGAGGGGACTGTTGCGGTCCAGTCCTTGTGAGCTGTTGTTGTTAGAAGCTGGTAGCTGAGGCACAGGGATAGTTCAGGAACCCAGAGTAGGGAAAATGTCCGCCATTGGAAGTTGTTACCAGGCAACAACTGGTGAAGCCACTGCAAACTGAGTAGACTTCGTATGTGCTGTATTGAACTGCAGAGTTTGTGAATTAGTGATAGCACTATAGTTGTAGTTACAATTTATAAGTGGTCAGTAAATCCAGTTACCAATCCAAACCCCATAGAGAAGTAAACTTCTAAGTCACAGATCTGCCACAATGTTGTGGAAGAAAATAATTTCCATGAATCTAAATGATCATTTTGGATTTATATACAGATTATTTTAATTTATTTAAGGAATGTATACATTTTTTTAGAAACAGCAATTTTTGTAATAGTAAATAATGACACTGTAAAATTCAGTTCATTGGTTGGTTGGTTGGTTGGTTGGTTGGTTGGTTGGTTGGTTGGTTGATTGGTGTTGTCTAAAATATGTAGGTGAGTCAGAAAGTTTCTTCAGTGGTTTATTTTAAAGTTTATTATATTGGCTGCATTTCTTACTTTGCATGCAGGTAGAAGCATGAATCTTAGACATTATTAAATACTTTTGCCCTCGACCAACCAATCATAGTGTCATAGCAGAGTTAACATGGCCGTTCCACTCTCAGAACACATTTTATTTATGTTTTTCTTAATTGTCATCTTTTATGTTACCATAAACCACTCCCCCCTCAGATGAAGGGTCTGCCAAGGGCTGGCCACCAGTGCACATAAAATGTTACTTAGGTCTAGGAAGTTGTTGCTATAATTAAGTGAATTTGGGTAATGGGGTGGGGTGGGGGATGAAAGACTGAGATGACTACTAAAAAAAAAGTATTCCAAGTTGCAAAATTGTATGAAAATTCTCCTGTAATGTGTAGTGAACAGCCACACTGCAGACCACACAGTTTTCTTCTCTGTTCAATTTGTTGAGAGGAGCTCACTGGTCTGACAGTGTCATGTATAGTCTGTTCAGTTTGTTGGTACACTAGTTATGCAGACATGTGGAGAAATAAGAACATTTATACAGTGAATAAAAAATTGAAATTCTGTCAGAAGATAATGTGAACCTACATACATTCAATTAACATCATCCTCCTGCTGTAACATTTTGGAAATCATTGGGGTGCTGAAGGAAAAATGCATTATTTCTGTTTCAGGTTTTGAGACTTGTCTGTATGCAGTCAGTGACAAACAGTGGTTTGAAACCCAAGGTTCTGGAGCATTACAAGCGAGAAATCATACAGACATATGGTTTCCAGCACATCTTATCCCTCACAGGCCTGGAAAATGTTGGTCTAATCAAATTGCAGGTAGCCATCACGATATGTAATGAGATGTGTTTGGCTCTGAAAGTATGTTATATCTTGATGATCATTGGTAAAATGTGTTCTCACAGCAAGGTGCACGACAGTACACTATTCTGCGGAAGACTCTTCGATTAACAGTGGAAGATGGAAGCGAGATAACACCAACAGACATCAGTTATGTGCATAGTGTGTATGCTCCATTGAGTGTTCGTCTGGCTCAGTATTTGGTACGCCCCAATGGCTGGAAGGGTTTGCAGGATGTTCTGGGACTGCTTCCAGGACCCACAATTGAGGAAAGTCAGTCACTACCAGCTGGTCATGGACCTCGTAGTAAGTAATGGGCAGTTGTTAGAAGGTTGTCCACTTACTTCAGCAATTGTTATCACCAGATATTTCTTGTGCATTGTTAATTTTCACAGTAAGATATTGAGACAGACTTAGGGACAACATGCAAGTAGCCAATATTCTGTTGGCAGTTGATGTTTTTGTATTTATGAAGTAATTCTCCTAAAAGGGAGAAATGGTTGTATGGGGAAAGGCATGCTCTGAAGTTCACAGTGTAGTGGTAAGCAGTTTCTCCAGGCAGCTGCCAGAATAGTACATAAATACAATGACAACTTCCTCTCATGTGTCTCTGTATTCAGAATTCTCAGTTATCCTTCCATTTCGTGCCATATAACTTATGTGATTGATAGATTAATATTGAATAAGTCACAAAAGAATCGTGTCACATGAACAATCTCTCAGCAAGTCTTTTTCCAGAATTTTAGTAGTCATTCATTTCCTTTATTTTCCATATATCCATATAGGTAACAAACCTCTTAATTACCTAATTACCTATATTAACTGAATTAAATACATCACAAATTTACACACTTATGACCAATTATATTGATAATATTCATTCATGGAATAAAAAGAATGATGGTATAAAACCCTGTTCATTGCAGATTTAGAACTTATCACATCAGTAGCCAACATTTTTATTGTTTGAGGAAGATAATTAAAAACTTTAATACCTGCTATGTATGCACCTTTAATGTATCTTGTTAGGTTAACTGCAGGTAAATAAGAGCATGCACAGTCCTAAATATATATTTTTAAATGTAGTAATTACCAGACAGACTTGAGTAAAACCATAATAGAGGAATTAAAATGATACATAAGTGAACAACAGCAAAAAAGATTATACATATGAGTTATGCCCAAACTCATCCAGGAGCCAGTAATTTTATTGCAGATTCTGCAGAATAATGCGTTAAAAATATATAGTAAAATTCAATGTACATACCTTTTTTATCATCATCTGCTTGATGTATATATAGGCTGAAATGAAACTACAGTATTTGATTTCACTATGAACGCACAGAAAACAAATCGCACTCTGTATCTCAACCATGATGCAACTGTCTGTTCATGACCCTAGAAAGGGCAATAATCTCTTGCAGCTATAACGAACGTCTTAGCACTGAGGAAGGAACCCCTCTAGCTTTCTCTTGAATAGCCATTCTTTCATTCTTCTGTCCTTCAGTCAAAAGATTAAAAAATCCGAAGAGTGTAAGCAGTGCTAGCAGAAGACCAAATGATTTTATCGCTTCCATCTGTTTTATGACACCAGGGACTGCTAAAATTTGTCGAGTGTTACAAACAGAAATGAATTTATAATGCAGAACAACTCTGTGAAGAACTGGGAAACCATTTTTGCAGTACGCATCAAAATTAAAGGGAAAACATTAAAAAAGGGTATAACTCTTTGTATAAAAATTGTCAAATTTTCCGTTATAATATGCGACACTGTGTCTTTTGCTGATACAAACAAAGTTAATTCCAGCCATTTATCATAAAAATTGATTTAGATACAGCATTGTTAAACACAATGCTTAAAATTATTTAAGCACCCTAACAGGAACGGACATTGAAACACAGAGTAGCGACGGGCATTTAAATAAACTCCGGCCAGCGCAAGCTTACCACCATTTCAGAAGTCCGGCGTTTAAAGGTTAACTGACATTGTATAGCAGTGTAAAGAGCAAGTTGGAGAAGGAAGCATGTAAGAAACTGTGTACAAGAAAAGCCAAGAGAGAAATAATATGGTGGAGAACAGGAGTTTGGAAACTAAAAGGGGAAAAGAGAAACTCAGAACAAGGGATTTGCTCCAATTGTGGAAAAAGGAGGAAGAGATGAGCCAAATATTGTGGAGTGAAAGAAAGAAGTTCAGAGGAAAGTATTTAGAAATACTGATACAGAAATATTTGTTAGGAGGATAACAGGATGCAGGAATAAAGAACAATTTTAGAAAATAGGAATAAAAAGAAAAGTTGTCCCTGTGTTTAATTAAGTACTATGCCATGATGTATGGGGGAGTGGATGTATAGATCCACATATTCTTGACCTCAGCACAAGTTGGAGGTGAGTGGTCAACTTCAAGCCCCGGCCACTTTACCCTCAGGAAAGATCCCCCCAGTACCCACTGTATGGGGGGTTGGGTGGACTCCAGAGCTGGTCTGGGCGATTAGAGAAGTGAATTCTTGACCCTACTGGGACTTGAGCTGCAACCCCTCGGTCATCCAGCCCATAGCCAGTTGCTATACTGACTACACTAAATGTAGAGGGAAATGGGAGAAGATACTAGGTGTGAGAGTCATGTAAAAATAAATATAGGTGACTAATAACTAGCAGAGATGGTGATAGGAAATGTCTAATATATNGTAGCTACCGCTACGTCGGCCAAAACGAAGAATACACGGTGCCTAAACCCAGAAGACAACTTTCTTCATTCATAATATATTTCTAACTGGTAGATAAGTGCATATAGCCTTAGCTGCTAATGTGCCTATACACCCATATTGTTGCTGTTATTACTGCTTCTGCTACTATTAATACTAATACAGCTAATAGTGTATTGCTTTCTCTGCATGGTTCATTTACAGGAGGATCCATCAGCAGTCAGTAATCACAGAATGATACACCGAGGGTGGTGCTAGTGTTTTTCCTTGGTGGTTGCACCTTTGCTGAAGTCTCAGCTCTGCGCTTCCTCTCTCAGCAAGAAGATTGTAAGAGTAATATTTTATCACTATAACCATATTTAGGCATATGCAACTCTTGAATTTTCTAGATCAAATTGAGAAAATTATTTTTCAGTGTGAATTCAAACATATTTTTCAATCTTATACCTTGCGTATTCCCTATTAACTACTTTTCCTTTGATCTTTACGGTTTGATGTCAAAAGGAGCTGTATCTTATTTACCCAAATGGAAAATGAGTTTCTTCTTCATCTTTTGGAATTACAAAACATCCATCATGAGAATTTGAGTGCAAAATGTATATATGTTAAGTCATTTCCAGTCTGTTGTAAGCTGTGAGAGTAGCAAACAAGAAAGCAAGACAGGCAAAACAACAAGTTACCTGAAATACCAAACTGGGAAACCAGCATTGTAATTCACCGATTTATGTCATGAGATTCAGTGCTAATTCAAGTGTTCCTCGCCACAAAATGGCAGATATGAAGAAAAGAGATAGTAGTGCTAAAAGGAATGTGTCAAAAAGTGTCAGGCCCTCAACTCTCAATCACTCATGGTGCTGAGCCCTTGAGAAGCCACCAATTGTGAAGCTACTCAAGAACTTCCAGCATTTTATGGAACCCAAGGGTTCATTACAGCATTCACAAGAGCCCTCCACTGGTCCCTATCCTGAGCCAAATGATTCCAATCCATACCATCCTATCCTGTCTCTCTAAGATCCATTTTAATATTGTTCACCCACCTACATAATGGTCTTCCTAGTGGTGTCTATCCTTCTGCCTTCCCACCAATATCCTATATGCCAGGCATGTCCAACTTCAAACAGATTGTAATCGATTTTTTAGTGTCAAAACTGCCAGTGATCTACCACCCCCTCCTATTGTCGTACCTCGCTTTAAGCAAAAATATCGGTAAAAATAACACGACACATGATGTTTGTTGTAAAAGCAACATACATAGAAAGTACAGACTGCTTTAACACTTATTTTCCCATAAAAATCTGAATATAATCATTATATTACAAGTTAATTTACATGCTTTTCATGTATAATTTCCTTATAGGCCTATGAGATCGACCAAAAATCGTCCTGCGGTCGCGATTGACACGTTGGACATGCCTGCTATATGCATTCCTCTTCTCCCCTATTCGTGCTACATACCCTGCCCAAGAAGTATCGGGCACTACACTTATTACTTAAGCTTAAGATTGTGGTGCTTAAGCATGAAAAACAAACAACTGTGAAGCAACAAGAATATGCAGTGTCTCTGGAGGCAAACATCTGAAGGTGAAAACAACAGAAATAGAAAATTAAACCAAGAATTATCTTTTGTTGTAAACATTAGACAGTGAAAAGATGTGACCGTGATGTTGGTGGTGTTTGCAGATAGCATGTAACTACCATCATACTGTTTGATACTGAATCAAGAAAGTGCCTAAGCCACAGCTGCCTGTGGGATTAGTAATTCAGTATCAGACTAAGGGATGGATGACTGAACGAACTAATGGGGGGACTGATTACAAATTATCTGGTACAGAAGACCAGGGGTATTGAAAAAACAAAGAATGTTTGTGCTCGATGTTTTTTAAGGTCATTTAACACTGAATATCAGATAATGTGATTCATGTGTAGAATATTTACCTTATGGGCACACCTGGAGGTACACATTCTAGTGAATAAACTTAAAAGGATCGTTTGAAACAGGTGTATTCCTTGTGGCTCCTGGCAGAGGACCATGTTCAACACCAGCTGAGCAGTAAAGCCTAGTATAAGACACCTGTGCCGGCATAGCAATGGATGTTTCCAGAAGTTGTAGTCAAGTGTGCTATATCTTTTGCAACAGATTAGAAGGAAAATGGGAAAGAAGTTGGAAATGTTGGCAACGAACGTGAGGATGTAAACAGTGAATATGAGAGAGAAGATAGGAATTGTGAAGGCATTGAAGGTGAGGCAGATGATAAGAATGGTGAACAGGGTGAGACTGGTGAAGCTGAATAAAGGCTAGTGACTCAGGAAATGTCATCTATAGTATATTTTATAATATTTATTTTCTTTCACATGCTGGTAGTAAGATTATGACACTAATTCGTAAAATTACTTTTTCTGTGCACACATTTCCTAATGCAGGGTTGTCTTACCTTAGGAATCATCTTCCATTTGAGTAAATACAGAAACGCACAGAAAAGGCAAATAGTGTTATAAATTTCTAGAAATTTGTATACTGTTTTCAACAGTCACCATGGTCTCATGGTCATGCCTCAAACTTGGATTAACCATTTTTTTTTATTTGTGGTTATTTCCTCCTTAATTAGCATAGATAACAAGGAATTTACTTTACTCAGATGTATAAGTATTTGAGAACATCCCAGCATTTGTGTAGAGAGAATGAGGAAAATCTTGAGAAACATAACCAGTATCTTGATCAAAATTTCATCTGTGTGTTTCCCAAGTACAACTCTAGAATCTTATTCTTATGCTGTCTTCCCGTCATATATTTTTGAGGAATGTAACATATGCACATGTTCCTTTCTTATTAATTTGTGCTAATAATTTCAGCACTAAGGACTCTTTTCTTCCCTTTACAGCATCCGTAGAGTTTGTGATTGTTACTACAAACCTTATAAATGGGAACACATTCCTCAAGTCCCTGATGGAGCCACTGGGGCCAGACCTTCCACCTCCAAGACAGTGAGGAGCATTAACAACTAGAAATGATGAATTACAAGCATCTTGATAGAGATATTGGTAGCATGATGTGTACATGTGGCGGCAGCTGACATCATTTCTCAGTTGTACTGACGTAATTAAAACATTATCTACTCCAGGATGTATACATCCTGTGGCAGTGAACTTCCTGACTGACTGACATTCTAGTCCACCAGTTCCCAGTATTTCCTCCCGTACAATATTATCTTTACTTTTAAGAACTTATAATGTCTTTGTGAAAGAAATACATATTTAGTCTTTCAGTTTTCACTTTCAATCATTCCTTTTCAGTTATGAAAGAATATTTAGAGTTTGGTCCTAAAATGAAAGATGAAAAGAGATGAGGGTTAAGATTATGAATTTCTGGGATGTGACACCACCCAGTTTGGTGGATGGGCACCAACGTTCTGGAGGAACCTGCTCCCTCCAGAGTGCCCTGAAGGTAGAGGGAAAAGGTTCATCTGAAATGTGGGTACTTATCTTCCAGACTACATGTGTTATACCACAAGACAGTCATCTTTACTTTCACCATGGTAAGAACCTCACTTCTCACACAGGCCAGAGTTAAATATATATTTATTAAAAGAAGTCGTAATAAATTACTTGCTTACTTACTTACTCATGGAGCTGAGCCCTTCCGGAGGATCCGCCAATTCTGCAGCTACTCAAGAATTTCCCAGCATTTTATGGAAGCCGAAGGTTTATTACCATGTTCACAAGAGCCCTCCACTGGTCCCTATCCTGAGCCAGATCTATCCAATCCATACCATCCCATCCTATCTCTCTAAGATCCATTCTAATATTGTCCACCCACCTACACCTTGGTCTTCCCTGTGGTCTCTTTCCTTCTGGCTTTCCCACCAATATCCTATACACATTCCTCATCTCCCCCATTCGTGCTACATGACCTGCCCACCTCATCCTCCTTGACTTGATAATTCTAATTATAGATAGAAATGTATTAAACATTTAGGAAGAATAAGCAACTAAAAGATATAAGAAATTAGTAGTGAAATTTAATGTGAAGAGAGAGAGATGTTGAAGCTAGTTGAGATGAGGGCAGAACCAACTTCTAAGAAATGAATGAATAATTAGGAAATATGTTTCTTGGTATCATCCTCTTTTTGAAAGAATGGTAGGAAGTTTCTGACAAAATTTAACATCATATTTAATGTTGAGATAAATGTTTTTGTCTTTGAGACTTAAACCCAGAATTTATTAATTTACTAATATTGTACATATATAACATACATGTAACAGGCTGAAATAAATACCTAATTACTAAACATTTAAAATAGAGGATTGAACCAAATACAGTAAACTTCTACAACTTCTTTTTTGTGCAATATGTGTAAGGGATGTATATATTTTTTCACATGGGTAAAGATTCTGCTATGTACTTTTAACCATAATCCTGTATATTTCATAAATTACGTAGCCCAACCAAAAATTATAGAAAACTAGCCTGGTGGAAAACTTGCAAAAGAAGGAATATGCTGATTCATATACTCAACACAATAGAAACATGGGACATGGTTTGTTATGAAATTTAAGGTTCTTGTGACAGTGAATGTGATGCTGTAGTTTGGTAGATAGGAACCAGTGTTGTGGAGGAACATGCTGCCTCCATCTTCAGGCTATAAAATTATTTGATGTCATGTAGTATCCTGGGGGTTTACAATTCTTGCTGCTTGCTCTTTGCGTGCATGGCTTACTCTTTAACACCAAAGATGGAGGTAGTACATTCCTCCAGAACACTGATAAACTCCCATACTACATGGCATCTTCATTCCTTCAAATTCTCCACAAATAAGAATATCTAACTAATTCTAAATTGTAATCAACTGTAAACAATCAGCTGTAATCAACTATTGTAATTTTAATCTTACACATATATTAAATTGTTAATATTCAGATTTAACTTGACTTGTCGTATATCATGTACAATGATCTACAGTGACGAAATAAATCAATCAATCAATCATCACATCCAGAAGACAATGCTCTTCAAAAGACTCTAAAGAAAACCTTAAATCTCATGACTGTAATATTGAATATTCTACACGATTTACAAATTATCATCTTTAAAGCAAATTACTGGCACAGAAAAAATCTGGTATGTCCATCAGTATCGTGAACTGCAATATGTCTGCTGCTATTTGTTTTAGTGTATTTTGGCATATCTGCTGAAAGCCAGAATAGATTAATCAGAAGAGACGTCCATTACTAGGTTATGGCTCATTAAACAGTGACACAACAGTGGAATATGTCACGCCATGCGATGTAACCAATGGAAATACCACTAGTAACAGTGTTCTTCATGGGTCCATGCCAATAGTGACATCATGCAAAGATTGTAGGAAGTGGTACTTTCTGTTGGGTCCAGTCCAAAGATATATTATGAGGACCACTGGGACAACTCAGTCTAGAGAAACTAGAGAAGTCAAGATTAGTGAGTCTGCATTTAGCAGTTGGGAGACAGATCCTTCAGATGCCATTGCAGATGGTCACCCCTGGTGGAGGCATGAGAGGCAGAGGAGCCCCATTGTTGTTAGTCGCTGTATATCAGTGCCACATCAAGTTGTGAGGACAGTGAGGACCAGAGCCATGGAACATGGACACTAAGGGAGCTACAGCATGGGAAGCCATTATAAGACAACTGAGAAGACTTAGTGCATGCTGTAATGAATGGCTGAGTGTGTGAATTAGCGATGACTCTATAGTTACTTTTAGGTACATTCTGTAAGTGCTCAGTAAATCTAATTACCAATCCAGACCCCATCTATGGTCACTCATATACATGACAGTGCCCTGAAGAAGAACACAGAATATGTGAATATTGCATTGGAAGTGCCTGGCAATTGTCTTTCAAATGTGTGTGCTACATGCAGTTCATTTTCATTCATGTAACATAATTTAACTTTTGAACTGAAATATAACAGATCGCAGAATACATTCCAGTTGCATAACTTATCAGCTTCATTTATTTGGAAGAAGGCTGCAGCATGTTCTCAGCACTGAACTGCCCACCCTTCCTTTCTCTGACCTTTTATTTGTTGATGTAAGTGATTCTGAACATACGTCATTCATCTGTGTTGATGCCTGGAAAGCACAGGAAATGTACCAGTATCAGTAAATGAAGTGAGATGATGCAGTTTATTTCTTGGTTGTGCAGTGTGAGATTCTGTTCCTAAAGGTGATGTATGAAAGAGCACATTTATTTCCATATATGAATCACATCAGAAACACAGTGTTCCTTGTTTTGGATACATTTTAAAGTAGCTCATCCTCTTTACTTGCTGGGTATTTTATAATTATCAAAACACAAAGTGGGGTTGAGGTTCAGAGAGGTTTCTTCTAATATCTGAATGAAGTTTATGGAAAAGATAAGAGCTAATTGGGACTTCAGTAAGAAGAAATTATTTGCAAAAGATGAACTGAATATCTCATTTTACAAAAACAGATTTGTTACTGCCACTTGACTTCCATTATCTTTTATCATGTCCAAGCTATTTTGATTTTTTTTTTGGCCCAACTTATTCTAATGGTAATAGTTTTAATGATGGAAATGAAGCAAGTTTGTGAATAGACAGTCATAGATGTCAGTGTATAGAAGGAGTCTTCAGCTACTTTAATGTAAGTACCACAACCTGTTAGATCAGAAAACTTTGTTTTATGAATGAATCAGAAATTAAATTATGGTAATACATATGGAAGTGATGTCATGTAGTCTAGTAGTCAATGTTGGCAACTATCTACCAGATCGCATGGCACCACATCCCCCAAAAGAAGTCTTGATGTTCACTACTGTAAGACGTTCATGTCTCTATCATAAGAGGTTATGACAAAAAATTAATTTTGGATATTCAGGATGAAGTGCCTAACAGCATACCAGATGGGAATATACAGTCATATTCTTCTGATTTGAGAGAATGAAAATTTAAAAAAAGAAAAAAAAAGCATTTAGGAACAAGCTTTCAAGTAATACATTTGAATGATATCTCCCTTTATTATGATTTTGTAATGTCAGACGTGAACATAAATATTTGATCATCACAAGCTTGAGATAAATGATTACAAATATCAGTCATCTCTTATTATTCATGCTGTGATGATGACTATTTCCTTTTTCAGTGTGATGGTGTACATATAGGCAAAATGAAGTTAATGATCGTGTGGTTCCATGTTGCTGCAGTAATTCAAATTTTGATCCTATGCTCAGGTATACAAATACAAAGAATACTGATACCAACACCACTCTGCTAATAGTTGTTCAAGCACTCCTATATTTAATGCCATTTTTGTTGTATTCAGAATTTAATTTCACCTTATGTGAGCTGTATGTAAACATTTCTAATAATGTATTTTGTAATAAAGTTATAAATAGCATTCTTATCTGGAAAATAGCTTGAATAATGATTAAATAAGTTATACAACTGAAAATGTTTTTTTCTCTCTTTATGGAGAAAACACATGACAATATTACTGCCAGATTAACAACTAATATATTGTCTCTTCCCTAGCACAAGAACAGGTGGTATGTCCAGAATATTTCACTCCTGTGTCAAATAAATGTATATATGTGGGTCCTCAGACAGATTGGTTCAGTGCAGTGAAACACTGTCATCAAGCACAAGCTAACATTACTCTTATCAATACTAAAGTGTATGAGCTGACAAGTATTGTTACTGTCCTGTTGAACCAAGGCATCAGCTCTTTGTGGATTGAAGCTAGAAGGAGTGCAGAGTTTTACCCCATAACATACCAGCTGCCATCAAGCCGTTACTATGAAAAGAACTTAATGGAACCAGAAAACAGCTTGTAAGTTTGTATGTCAAATCTTAATTATTTCAACTGACTTACTTCTATTTGAACTGGAATAACTCAGTCAGTAAAACAACTGGCGGCATATTGGATTCCCAGAATGATTCCCAGAATTCCCCCCCCCCCATAGCATTCAGAACACCACTACCCAGTGGATGCTGGTTGTGCTTAAAAGTGTTGATTTAATGTACACATGGTATGTACTGTAAGAAAATAGAACGATTTATTTGTTTATTCTTGTATTTGGGTTTCCTTGTCTGTTCCTATAAGTAAACCCCACTGCTTTTTAAGTGTTTGGAATCTTTTGAGGCTGCAGGGGAGAACACTAAACTCAGATACATTTAGCCTTTCTGTACTCGTATACTTATATCAGGAATTCTGTGACAAATTTNGCTGCTGTACTGCGATGTGGAAAGCAAATGGAAAAACTACCACATTATCACTTTTCCTGGATAGTCTCTTTCCAAAAACAGAAGATCGCATTAAGTGGAGGAACTGTTTTGGAAGAGACTGTGGACCTGTCGTCTGACAGATTACTGATGAATGAATGAATAGTCAGGTTATGCACAAAAAATGGAATTCTAGAATTAGAAAAAAAAGAAAAAACTTGGCACATTAAAATCTCATTACATTTGATATCTGGTTTCATAATATGTTACACTTCAGTAATTTGATTTATACAGTGATGGCATAATGACCAAATGGATGGAAAATGAACCTGCACTTGATGAAGAAGATAACTGTATGGTGCTAATACTTGATAACATGACCAGTGGTGGTGCAGCACTCCATGCTAAGCTGGACAAATGTGATAAGGCTGTCCACAACTTTGTTTGTGTCACTTATCCATGTGGGAACCAAGATGTAGATTGCTGGGTACAGAATGCTAAAGCATACAAAAAGAAGGGCCAGGAACATGGAATTCTGTTGCCACCAAAGCTTGAAATAAGGTAAATTTTATTCTACTTATATCTCCATTTTCTGGGGTTGAGAAATATATTTGAAGCATAAAATAATGTGTATTTGAATATAAGATAAAGGAAGTAACAAGGGTGGAAAATATGGCATAATGGGGAGCTTCAGTTCCAGTTCATACTGTTGAAGCCAACTCAAGGAGGATGAGATGGGTGGAACATGTAACACACATAGGAAGGATGAGAGATGCAAACAAAATTCTGGGCAGAAGACCTGATGACAGAATCATTTGGGATGCTGAGGTGTATGATCTTTGTTTACAATATGCACATTTTCTTTAACAGAGTAGTATGTAACTAATGTTATGAAAATTCGCTTCATACTCACAATGAGTCATAAGAAAAGCATAGATTTTTCAAGAATTTAAATAGTGCAGTGTAGCTGAGAAATATGACTAATAAATAAACATTTTATCACTTTGTTTAACTACTGTATTGCTATGAATATTACATAATAACAGGCATTAATAGATCCTTTGCAGGTGAGAGCTGCTTAGAAGCAGAATTCAAGTCTGTGACATGTTTATGGCTGTAATTTCCAATCTAAAATGCAGTACTGAAAGGGGAATTTTGTATTAACCTTATAAGATACATGATGAGAAACCAGCAGGTCAGTACATTTTGTTTCAATTTCAAAAGCCGACCAAGTCAAACAAAGGACCCTCATTGAGGTGAGGTGTCTCTATCTGAGTACATGAGAGACTGAGTGTCTGGTTCTCTCCATTAATTTCATTTTTAAGGTTGCATAAATTGTTAGACTTTGTCCATTGTTGGGCCAGAAGAGGTTTCTAAAAATGTCAGACTTTTGAATGAAGACCAGGAAAGGTTAATAAATTTATTGTGTTTGACCGTGTTCATTATCTTAGTTGTATTCAAAATTATGCAACATTTCATAAGTTGGATGTGCTTCCATCATCAAGTGTAAAAGGAGAGGATGTAAAGGATCCTACTCAGTTTGGACTGGAATGTTGTGCAAACAGACTTTGTGGAAGACCAACTGTTATCAGCATTCAGAAATCGTTCTCATATAGCTAATGTATGTGTGTGCACACACAATTTTGTAGTTATAGGAAGGTAAATGAATACTTAAAAAATATAAGCTTATTAAAAATATTAACATTTCAGGAAGGAGAACAACACATATTTTCTAGATGTTTATAGCCCAGAGAAACTTTGGAAATATGGCAACAATACTAAAACAATAAATAATCCAGTATGTATAATAGAAGATGGAAATCCATTAATTGATAATGTATGTCTTCTAGACCAAGAAAAGGTATTATCATGGACAAGTGAAAATAGTGTGTTTGAAAACGTAATCCAGTATTCTGTTAGCAAAGCAGTATTTAGAATTATCTCAGAAAATGAAGGTTACATCATATGCCGAGCTTTTGTTGCGGAGACTATGGATGAAGTTGTATCACAAAAGCATCTATTCAGGTGAGTTATATCAAGAGACTTGAAAATCTCTATGATGTAGGATACATGTGAGGATGAAATCCTGGAATTGTACTTCCTGATTGAAAAATTCATATTACTCCATGAATTCTACAGATGAATACAGGCTGTCTACCTAAGTACTTCCTAAGCTTTACAGAACATGAAGCTTCTTGACTGTAATGAAAAATGCCAAACATTCAGAAAATCTATGTCTAAAACTTGGAAATTCAATTTATTAGTATACAATGTGTCATATAGTATTGAATTTAAACATTTTTAACTATTAATATCTCCAACTGTTTTTTTAAGAAATGTAATGCTCATCAGACAAGTTTCAATAACATTGATTAAAATCTTTCATTTATGTCCTGAGTCATAAAATTTGTAATAGAAGATGATAACTATTTCTCTGGCATCATTAAATAAAAATGACCATAGCACACAAACGATACTAAACTAGAGACAAAGATATGTGTATAAATATAGAAGCATATGTAAAGTGATTAGTAAGATTTAAACCTGTAGCCCTTTTATGGATTTTCCATATTTCTTGTTTTCTTCATGTGTATACATTTTGCTTGGTATGTAGTGATCAGAAACATTTTATACTTGATATAACAGATATAATTTGGAGAAAAATAATTATACATAATTTTGATTGATACATTATTACCATTTGGCTTCATGCTAAATTGTGAGTGTCAAAAAATAAAAATATTTTCATACACATTAGTAGTCAAAACATTAGGTGAGTAAATTGGACTACAGAATATTTTATATTAATTGTATTTAACTATTTAAATTCAATAACATAATAGGTGTATACACTCTGCTTCTGTGCCATAGATCAGATGTTAGAAGCCATATTTTTGCAGTTATTCTGCAGTACTGGATGAAGGCATGTAATCTAAATTTTTGTGAGCCAACGTACAGTTTGCAACACTGGACATCGGTTGCTTATAATCTGTCACAAAAACTGAAAACATGGAAAGAATTTAGAAGAATTTTAGTGCGGCCAGTCAGAATGTCAAGCAGGTAAGCTTCAAAATGTTATGAAAATTTAAATCAAACTTAGTGTATTATTAAATAAATTAGGAAGATTGTTGTGGGCTAAAGTGATTCAGAGCCATTCCTATGTGCTTGAACACTATGCCAATTGCTATATTTCCTGCTTGGTTAGCTATGGTTGTACTGAAACTACAGCAAGTTATATTGAAGTTTATATCCTTACATTACAGGTGATATTGAAGAAGTTCTGACTTGAATTCAGGGGGTGTCCAGTTGGAATTTTGGTTGGGACGCTGGCAATTCTGACTGAGGATTTTCATGATTTTCCTGTTTCTTTAGGCAACTTCCAGGACAGTACCTCAAATTAGGCCATAACTACTTCCTTCCATGTCCTGTCTACTTTATCATTCACTGATAATCTTGCTATTTAATGCTGTATATTCTGAGCTGCTGACAGAGTCTTTAATCAGATCATAAATAAGTAAAAAATATAAAAGACTATGTATGTTGGAAAAGTATTAAATGTTTTGGTGACTGATGTGGTATTGTAAGGTGTTAATTGATGCAGAAAGAGCATTCTTATTGCATTGAATGTTCTAGATGTCATTTGTATAAATTTTGTATATTTGACAAGCACTGTAATGTTCTCTTTCTCAGGACTGAAAATACTGTCACACGGATATTCCGTATCAAAATTTTCTCTGACATATCTGCAGGAGAGATAGAAACCGATCACCATCATTTAAACAACCTCTATTCAAATTTAAAAATCATTGCATCAAACAGGCCTGATGGTCTGGTAGAGGTTCTGCATGTCCGAAGTTCAAAGTTTTGCCACAAGGAAGAAACATATGGCAACAGAACACTTCACTGGCCAGTTGCTACCATTGGACAAACAGTTTTGCCCAGAGAATTGTGTGTCAATTTGGAAGGAGTTCCTATATGGAGGCAGTGCACTGGAGATTTTGTTGAGGGAGCTTTCTGGTCTGATGAAAATGAAAATAATGGGACATTATATCAGGTAAATTGCAATAATAGTACATTGCTCCACAGTTAAAATGGATGCTCTCCATTCTCTGTGAAACATTTAATATACATGGTTGTGTTCCAATATTCATGTGATTGAGTGGCATTATGCTGACAAATATTATATTTTTAATTCTTAGAATTACTGCCAACATTTTGGAATAACCCAGGACCCATTGAATACAAGTCTTAAAATGGTAATTCAATGCTGTAATGTTACATTAAAATAAGACCATAATTCCTTTATTCCAGCATAATGTCAGCATTTGCTTGGAAGAACTAATAAATAAATCCACCTCATATTTTGATGTAGAGCAGTGATTTCCAAACTGTGTACTGTTGCCTGAAGTTTTTATGACTGGCCAAAATAAATAGGCTGCATAGCTGAGCATTACTTTTCTTACCATTAAGTGCTATACAGGAACTGCCACAGTCTCTTTTACATATATAGTATTAGTATTAGTATTTATTCAGTATTCCAGACATCCACAAGATGGATACAGAACTTGTCCTCACTCAGTACATACAGACCAATTACAAAAGTTGTTTACAAGGAAAATTACAACAGTATAAAATATAAATAGTTAAGGCCTTGATTACATAAATAAAAAGTCAGAAACATATCATTTAAGAACAGTCATATTAAATAAAAAATCCACAATAAACGAATAATTATGAGTTAGAAATAGTAAATAAATCCTTCAGATTACTGAAAATAAGATTAATTGGCAATACACAGGTAAAACTCATAACTAAAACAAAACAGACATTATAAAATGAGTTTACAGTGAACAAAAAATCATAAATTACAAATATAATACACAAGTGAGCCATAAAATTGATTTTCTCATATGTTTATTATAACTACTCTCATTATTGATCAAAATACTCTTCTAATGAGTAGAATGAATTCGTGTATAATTTTTTTTTAAGTGGTTTTGAATTTAGCTATGTTACCATTAACATTCTTAATATGAGAGGGTAATTGGTTAAAGATTTTTATCCCTGAATAATAGGCTCTTTTGGGTGCTGTCAGTATTTTTTATGGACAAAATTATTTTATGATTTGTAGTTTAGAGAAGAGATCTGGATTATGGTAGGCACATCATAGACAGAATCAATATGTAGCATATCAATTTTGCATATTCTGTGCTATTTTCAGCATAACATGCATGAAGTCTCTTTTTAATTACAGTGTGAAGTGCCATCACCAAGGGCTAGCTTCCTGCATAAACTTTCTTTACAAGTAGAACAAAACCAAAATGCAGCCAATGCCCTCACACAACTACAATTTGCTCTTACTTCCCAAGACACCAAGAAGTTTGGCAGCATCACTCATCTTACTCCAGCTGAAATTCAGTATGCTGCTAACACTCTGGCAAGCCTTCGACACAGCATTCTACATGATTCAGATTTGCCAACCATAGCAAATATCACCGATGCTATACTGAAATCATCACTGAATAAAACAAACAATACTATAGTTGAAAACAAAATGGCATTGGTGGTGACAAATGCTAGTAATATTATTTTAGACTCCATCGATCATATGTTGAATAAAGTAGAACTTAACTATAAAGGTGAGCTAAGTGCTAAAGCAAAGCATGTCTGTATGTACTGCATGCTTTAAGTTAACTTCTCATGGTGTGCATCATTTCAATGAACTCTGTAGTAGAATCACATTAGTCTTGAATTAGTTTTTCTGTACAGAACTTAACAGTAGAATATGTGTGTTATGATCAGTCCTCTCTTAATTCCATCCTCACCTTCACACCATTTTCACAAACAAGTCTGTGATGACCACATCAAGGCAATATAACCATTATATCTGCAGAGTATTAAATTCAACTACCCACTCCCAAAATAACCGGGTCATGATATAACTGTTACATCTAGTGTGGATGAAATGTTATTGCCAGATTTCAGATTAAGTTGTATATCAGTTTAGTTTGTAAGTCTTTTTTTAATTTATGATTTTCCAAAGGCAGCAAAGTGGAAAGCCTAACACTAAAAGTGCTCTGCTTTGTGTTGCTATCTTACTTTGGTGGCATCCATTACTGAAAGAACCCTCAAGCCAGACTGATTCTTATGCAGATGATTTGATTCAGTACTGAGTCACAAGTAGAGGAACTAAATGTTGAAACAGGAAATGATAGGTGAATAACCTACAAAATATGAGTGTTTCAACTTTTCTTCAAGAAATAAGGTATGATGGACTGGCTGAGAGCAGGATCCAGCTGTGGACTTGTGCCATTAAGTGCAAGAACTTTCTTTACCATCTAAGTAGCTATCAATTTTAAAAGAAAGACTATGGAATTGATGGTTTGGCTCGTTTATTCTTTTTTTTATCTATTGAAAGTCACAAATTACCAGTGTAGGTGTATTTACTGTAAACTCAGTAGTTCATGTACTTACAGCATGCTAACTGTCTTAATATAGCATTCACAATTCTACACAGGGAAATTAAAAGTTCTTTTCTTTTAAAACTGTACAGAAACTTCATTGGTTGTGACCCCAAGATTTGTAACCTTACTTATGGATATAGAAACCGGTTCCAGAGCAAATGGAGGATTTCAAGGACTTGCAGCTCGGAAACCTTCCAAATATTCTGACAAGTACTTCAGGAAAGAGGTAAATCAGAAATGCTATGAAAATGCTTACTAATATATTGAAAATGAAGGAAAGGTTATAAGGATTTATTGTGTTTTCTAGGACATCATAACTCTATCTTGGAATGACAGTGTGGAAACTCTTCTTACTCTGGAAGTGTCAGCTGCTGTGCTCTTGCCTCCTCAACTTACACAGAAGCTTACAGAAGACATATGCAATAATTCTCACCACAAAACTTGTAATGGATCTAAGAAACATCGCCTGGTCATAAATCTCTTTTGGGATGATGGTCTATTTGTAGCTAACAGTGCTAGAAGTGGAATGCCTTTACATGTTTTAAGTGTGACACTAGATGGAGAAAAGCATCCAGATCTGAATCCTCCACTGATACTTTTATTTGACAGCACACAGAGCAGTGTATCACATAACAGAGAATGTGTCTTTTGGGATTTTAAGGCCAATGCTGGTCTTGGCAACTGGTCCAACACTGGATGCACTCCTACTCTGAGACTTGGTGATTATCATACAATAAAGACAGACATTTGCATTTGTACCCATTTGACACATTTTGGTCAGCTTATCTCTCCCACATTGGAACAAGAGATAGATGTAGCATTAGACATGATTACTATTGTTGGGTGCTCATTTTCCTTACTAGGTTTGTTTGGGATTGCATTGACAGCCACTGTATTTCCTGACTGGAGACATGGTGCCAGTAAAAAGATCCAACTTCATTTATCTTCGTCCCTTGCTACATTAATGCTAGTGTTCCTTTTGAAAGCCTTTCTCTTCACATCCTCAGATGAGCCTAAGCTGTGCCTTGTGCTGGGAGTAGCACTTCATTTCTCCCTAATAGCTACATTTTGTTGGATGCTTGTAGCAGCATGGTTCCAGTATTTACGTCTTACAAAACCATTAGCTTCTCTGTGCCGCGCCCCACATATCCTGCTCAAAGCAGCTGTCTTTGCATGGGGCTTTCCCTTCATCCCTTGTGGTACTTTGTTGATTGTCTCTCCTGATTCTTATAACTCATCACAGTGTTACCCAACAGGGATGGCACATTACTTCTCTGTTATTGCTCCTATTTCCATAATTATTTCAATAAACATAACTATGTTTGTACTGATCATTTGTTCTATATACAAATTACATAATTTTGGAGAGCATGCAGATAATGGATTGAAATATACAAACAGTCACCAGCTGAATCAGCACATCGCTTGTCGAAGGTTAAGCACACTTATATTTCTCTTTTTTCTTCTTGGTCTCTCCTGGATTTTTGGAATTTGGAAGCTTTCTTATTTATTCTGTTGTACAGCCACACTTCAAGGCTTTGCTTTCTTTGTGTTTTTTGTTGTCTTAGAGAAAAATACAAGAGCTAAATGGAGTTATCTGTTCACAAGAAAGAAACCAGAGACAATATATCCCTTCTCCAACAGAAACAGCTCTGGATCAGTGGTACGAAGATCATGTGATTACCAAAGGACTAGTCGTAATACAATAAGCACATTGTCATCCTTAAGTTAAAGATACTAAATGTCTGTGAGACTTTTATAACATAAGAAATTGTGTTAAGTATGTAGTTCAGCCCTTCAATGTCCAATAACTTAACCCACTGCCTTGCACAGATGTTGAATTGCCACATGGATGCAGTTTTTGATTGTTTGCTTCATATAAAGAAATAATAAATGGTACAATGCATTTTATTCAGCAGAATGTTAGAAATAATAAACTTTCCTATAGGAATAAATACAGTTTAACTTCAGCTTCTTAAAAGTGACCATATTCAATTCAACTGAAATATATGTCATAATTCAAGTAAATATACACAAAGAAATAGTAAGATAATGAATTGAAAGAATGTGGAATTGAAGAGTCATAGCCTAATTTGAGGTGTTTGCCTGGAGAGCCTAAGGAAACTGAAAAACCTCACTTGGGATAGCATGTCTTAAGGCTGATATTTTAAGTTTGGGCATCCAAAAAACAGGAGAAGTGCTACCCACTAGACCATGATATTCAGTAATGTTATTATGGGTGGTGTCTGCACATTTGTGACACATATCGAGACAGTATGTTAAAAAAAAAAGCAGATCTATCCATGTAACAGACTTGGAAGCCCACAGGGTTGAAGCAATAAGGCTCCCACATTTTCTAGACAATCAGCACACAGATGGAGGTGAGGCTGTCAGCCTCACACACCAACCACCTACTACCCCCAAGAAGATTCTTGGTACTATTTCTGTTAAAGGCTGAGTCGACACAAGGGCCATAGTGCAGCTGCAAGGATTATGGATTAGGTCAATTGAAAAATCTAATGACCTCATCAGAAATTGAACCTGCAGCCTTCTGGCTTGTAGCATAGTGCCTCAACCAACTACACTTTCATGTGCCCCCTACAGAGACAATATGTACCAAGACAAAAGAAAACATCAAATACTTGTGTCATCCTGTCACTTGTAAAACCTATGAAGTAAGTGACCCTTCAGCATCTCTTACATTTCAAACTTCTAGGACTAGCTATTACTGTGATTTTCACCTGAAAATGTCAGTTTTTGTGCTCATTTTGTGTCCCTAAAAATAACATGGGTGTGTACTCATTATATCCAGTCACAGGGGGCATTTGAATTTGGCTGCAAGGTTATACTGAAGAATATGTCAGAACTGTTGCTCAAACTGAAACAAAAATGTACAGCTTTGCATTATTAATTTATTGTACAAAAATAAATATTTTGAAGATACAGTAAAAATGCAATATTAACACTTTTTTTAATGAATCAGAAGGAGCAGATCCATTTTATCTTGTTATGCAGTCTTAACAGTCTCAACTTTTTATTCATGAATGATAACTACAAAGTAAGTAAATACAATTATAGCAATTCAGTAAAACCTCATACATTCATTGCTTTAGGGCTGTGATAGCAAAATATTGGTTTTGATGGAAAGAATGTTAGTATCATTTATAATCTGTAATGTTTGCATACAGTTGACAAAACTGTGTTGAATAATATAAAATAATTCAACTCATATTGCTTCTAGTGACAATTAAAACAGTTGTCTTGAACAACTAGAAGAGAGGTCCCAAACTTCCCAACAGATCAGCATCAGCAATGTGAAGCTCCATTGTGTAAGAATATGACTTTCAAGATATCAAGTTAAATTCTAAGGAATATAACTTGTGAAAAATTATAACTTAGTAGTTAAATATCTTTCTTCATTTGAATCACACATACTATCTTTGTTCATAATGATCACACAGACTGTAAATCATAAATATTATCTGGAGATTATGGTGGTATTTTCCATTTCCCAGCTGCTTCCAAAATTCATTATGCACTCCTGACCTTTACATTTTTGGATGAAAAATATTGAGATAAAAAGAAACACTTGCATTCATGACATATGTTGTTCATACTACATATTATTTACATTTATTACTTCATATTATGTACTGTAACTGTAAATCATATTAACATTGTCATATACTCCATGTGAGTTTATTTAGTAAAGTTAATTTGAGCACTGCAGGAATGTCTGTGAGAAGATAGAGAACTGAAAATAGAAGGGAATTTACATAATTTAAATAATTTGAAAACAGGAACAGTCTGATAGTTAGAATATTATCATTATTACTCACTTTAATGCCCTTTATGATCTTACTCATGGAGCTGAGCCCTTCTTGAGGAGCAGCCAATTCTGCAGCTACTCAAGATTTTCCCAGCATTTTATGGAACCCAAAGGTTCATTACCATGTTCACAAGAGCCCTCCACTGGTCCCTATCTTGAGCTAGAGCAATCCAATCCATACCATTCATTCATTCATTCATTTATTGTATATTCCATAAATCCATATACATAGATATAGAACCAGTCACATAGTTAATATAGTACAATACAATTATAAATATATATGTACAGCTTATAATCATTATAATAGATAAAAAAAACATGTGTTAAATTTACAGTCTTACATCACTATACATAAAATTATGCAATATTAAAATTGTTTATGTTATTGTCGTTATTTCTAGGCAAATTTGTTACTAAAGAATTCATCACATGTATAAAAAGAGTTTTGCAATAAAAATTTTGTCAACTGAATTTTAAAATTTTTCAAGTTATTAGACATTAGAAATCCCATCCTATCTCTCTAAAATCCATTTTAATATTGTCCACCAACCTTTATGATCACACTGTATATTTGTTTAAGACTAATTTCTTTTACAGACACATTGCAGATGTAGACTTCGCTTTGTTGGACATTTTATGAATTGTAAGATCTGAGGTTCTCATTGTGTGACTATGAAAATTACTGTTTCCTGGGATGTGATGCCTTGTAGTTTGGTATGTAGGTACAAACTTGTTGGAGGAATATGTTGCCTCCATCTTCAGGACAGAAGACTAAGCTGAATAAGAAATGGAGAGTAAAACATATAGGAAAGTATGGACAGGAACTGACTGCAAGCAAGTCACTGGGAGGCAGTGACTGTTACTAGGGTCAATAATAATTAATTATGAAGGGAAGATGAGAGAACGATATTGAGGAGGAAATGAAGTGAAAATATATGGGGAAAAGAAAAAGGGGTAATTAGATAGCATATGGTTTTGGAGGAGTATCAAAACGTCTAGTAAATTTCCCAGTAAGTCAACCCACAGGGTTCTTCAAGAGTGCAGCCAAGCTGACATGCAGATCAACGTCTAAACGGGGGATGAGAAGAAAGAAGGGATGGAGATGAGTGAAGACATATCATCCTGTGAAAGAACAAATTTGTCAGATGTGTGTCAAAGGCCAACTACAGAGGAGGATAAGAAAAAAGGAAGAAAAGGAATTAAGTAAATCCTCAGGGCCCAAGTCACTGTGTATCCTTCAGCAGAAGTTTCCTGTATTCTTTCAGGGATTAAATGACTTACAGTGGCACAGGCCAATCTCCCACTGGCTTGCTCACAGCCTGGCTCCTGTCTGTCCTTCCCTATATCCTTATCTTCCTTTTCTCACACAGCCTAATTTTCTGTCATCAAATAGAAATATCCAAAAGAGTAAATTTATATTTTTTTCAGATAGCCAGGCAGCTTTGTAAGTCCCTGAGATATCAAGGATAACAGCAAAGCTGCTCTGGGAACATCAACAGGCAATTCTTGCCCCACCCAATGTGAAGAAGTTAATACTCCTCTGGGTCCCTGGCCACAGTGGGATTAAGGGCAATGAGGATTCAGATGCTTTAACTTGGAAAGGATCAAGCAATCCCAACCTCACCATGTGTTGATGGGCTTGAGATTAAGGAGTGGCCGACAAGGAAGGGCCCTTATTACTGGGTATGAGACAGTCAAAGCTCGTGATAAGGATCTTTAGAAAAACTGTCTAGGGATATACTGGCCTTGGACGTGGGGCAGTGTGGACTAGTAATAGAACTGTTGACTGGTGGCCACTGTACATTGAGATTGTGCCTACATGTTATGGGCTTCCTGGATAATGCCATATGCAGGGAACATGGAGAGGAGGAGTCCTCTTAGCATATATTTTGTCAGTACCCAGCTCTGGGTGGGCATGAAGATCTTTGGCTCTGCATGGTTGGAGCTAGTAGATATTAGCAGGACCTCAAGCAAACAGGTTCTGGCTTTAGTAGTGAGGACAGGGCTTTTTGAAGGACCCTAGTGAAAACAGAGGGTGCACAATGGGCCCAGTAGAGGTATGAGTGCTTGGGAATACAAGAAGTTGGCCTCTGATTACTCTTTCCTGAAAATGATGACAGCAGGTCCCTCCAAAATTCCTTTACTTTGTCAAACTGCATGTCGTCACATCCCAGAAGACACCCACATCTTCCTATTGTGAATTGCTCATTAAATGTGATGAGAGCCAGGTGCAAATCATCAGTTGGATCAGAGGTGCCAGGCCCCACCAATACTCTATGAAAATTAGTTTGATGAATATCTAATTTGTTTACATTTTGTATGGAAAAAAATGTCTTTTTCAAAATCTGCAGAGAAGTCACTCAGGCTTCAAGATGATTATGTAGGGCCTTTGCCTAAGCTCACATTTCCAAGGAAATTCCCTCCACTAACTTATGGTGCTGTTCTGTAGCTACAGAATCATTGAATATGGGCTGTCACACAATTTCATGTGTATTCATGTCTCCCGCACTTATCTGAGTGTCCATTATTCTCTTTCCCACTACAGGCAATGAATGGCTTGGCTGCATTTTGAGAGTTTGTGTTAACATTTTAGGTTTCTTTTGTTATTCATTTGTGTAACATTAAATAATATTGTGAGACCAATGCATATATCTGTGTGTGTGCGCACATATGGGGGGACGCACTTTACTAGTGTGGCAAGTCTACAGTATTGGTTAAACCCAGTGTAAATTCTAGACTATGTAGAATTAGCAGTAATTTTAAAGGCAGTATTACAGCAGCTGAGAGGAATATAATTTTAGTACTGGTAAAAAAAAATACCCTACATGAAAAGGAGATGATGAAGCAAACAGAATTTAAAGGCAATCTGGAGTGGTTCAGCATCACATATATTAGTCATGATCATTATTGAAGAACCTATGAAAAAAGATGTGAGGAATACACTTCATCCAGCCTAGAAAGTAATAAAAACATTCATTTTTAGGCTTGTACACATCCTTGTTGAAGCAGCTCACAGTATAATCATCTGTATGTTCATCCATCTCTGTGATTGACCCATGGACATCAGAGGGCACAAACGAGCTTAGCAGGATTCAAATTCTCCCCAGTCCAAGAAGGGCATTGTATTTCTGCCAAGACAAGATGTTCAGCCGTACATCACATAGAGGCACATCCCTTTCATTTAAAATGTTCTTGGCAACACAAAATGAGTGTTAAGGTACTTAAAGAAGTTGTTATATAAGATTAAAGTAAAGGTAAAAAGAATGTAAAGTTGTCCATATGCATCACTAATTAAGCACTACGCCATGAACGCATATGGGAGAGTGGATGTATACAGATGGGCAGTGAACAGTTTGGGTTTAGAAGCAATTCCTCAACAGGAAAGGCAACGTTTAAGCTTCTAAATGATATTTTACAGGCCTTAAATAATAAGGAACTTGTGGGAGGTATTTTTTGTGA